GGTGTGGGGGAGGAAGAGGCGGGCGGCCCGGTCTTTTTGGTCCCGGCCCCGTCGACTTTGGTTGCCGGACGAACGAACGGCCGGCCATGGTAGCTGTCGCGAACCAGAGGAGGGAGAGAGGGACGCGCGGGCGAGAGAGAGAGAGACGGGGGCAATTCCATCTTTTTAACCAAAAAATCCAATTTCCAAATATTTACGACTATGCCACTGAGCTTCTTTTGATCATATCTCTCTCGTTACAACTCCGATTCGAGCCCGCTACGTGTCTACGAACTCATCTCACCGTGCTCTACGCAACGGTACAACCGGAATTCCCAAATTCCTTCCGGGTAAGAAAATGACTAAAATACCCTTATCCCAAGGGTAATTTCTCAATTCCACTTAAATAATTTAAAATACGGGATAAATTTAGGGTCGGGGTGTTACACCAAGTTTATTACTTCAGCAAATCAGCTTGCAGCTGTATTCACTAAACCATTGGGAAAGGAACTTTTTTCTACCATGATTCGCAAGTTGGGAGTTCTCGACATTCACTCTCCAACTTGAGGGGGAGTGTTAAGAAGGTCAATGATTTCCTAATGTTCACAGGAAGGATTAGGAAACAAATATGTAATTATGTGCTATAGAATATTTCTTTTCCTATTGTAATTTAGATTCCTAGAATAGCTTAGCATCATTATAGGAAATCTCTTGTATAAAGTTACACTCTCAGACTCAATGAAAATCATTCAGGCAAATATCTTTCTTCCCTATTTTACAGTGACTGAGTTAGATTCACCGTTGGCAGTAACCACACTTGTTTTAGTAGGAGCAATCATAGAATGTAAATTAAAAGTAAACGATTATCATTATGTTAGAGATAAGCATATAATTTCTTATTAATTATTAAATGCTTAATTTGAAAGAAAAAAAAAACCAGAAAACACAAACCAGGTTAAAGAAAAGAGAAAATCCAAATCCTAATTTGTTTCCTCATCTTTCCTTATTACCCTAATATGTTTGACTGCTGAGATTCTTGGGCCTTACTATTGAAATTTTTTTTGGGGGTCAAAAGTTAGTAGGTCCTTACTTAATATGTTTTCCTTATTACCCCAATCTTTTTTATTTTATTTTTAATTCAAATGATAGTAAAAAAACTACAAAGGCGAGGGAGTTTCTCGACACATACCCTACCAAAGTGCCATGGAGATTTGAATTTGAAATCATTGATCTAAATACCAAAACCCTTTTCCAATGTGCTAGACCTTGTTAGCCACGCCAGTCTATTCTTAATTTTCTTGTCATTGTGTTAGGTTTTGCAATTATACTCAAGAGTAACAATTATGTGCAATTTTCACACGATACGACACATAGTTAGCAAATTATGGCTCACTAGTATTCGATGCGAAACAAGGACAAATCTATGTGCCACTCTAGCCCAGTGCTTAATTTTTAGAATATACAACTTCGACTTAAAAAAAACAAAAAAAAGATTAAAACTAAATAATAAATAAAACAATAAACTTGCATGCTGCAGCCATCCCCCTGAGCGGATCTGAGGTCCCCAAAATGCATGTCCTCCCCCCTACGTCCCTTGCATAAAATTTTGACATATGTCTTTTAACTTAACAGTTGCTAACACCGTCAATTTCTATTAGAAAAATAGAAAAATAAAACGAAAACACTACTTCAGTGCGCTGATTATAGACTTCTTCATTTTCTCACTGCGACTTTTGTTTTTGTTTTTATATAAAAAAAATTCACTTTTGAGCTTTAATCAATTCTCAACATTTTTACATAATTTAAAGCTTTGAAACCTTCACAATTTTATGCATCTAAATAGAGTTTTATAGGTAAAAAACTAAACTTGAAAATCACAAGTTGAGTATAAAAATTCATGTTTTAGTGAAAAACGTCATTGGGCCTCTTTTTGGGTTAAAAACGCCATTGGGCCTATTGGTATTGGGCAAAATGTCACCCCACGAAATAAAGGATATAGAGGAAATAAATCCTTCCCAATTCAAAAACCAACATTTCCCCGCTTCTTTTGCACTCAGAAATCTCAGTTTTCACTCTTCCACTTCACATTTGTTTTCATTTCTGGATTTGTACACAAAACAGAGACGCTATGGCTGTCATCTTCCCTGACTCGCAACCCAGCACCCCTCTTCAGGACCCTCTCTTGCCCTGGCTCTGGTACTCAATATATATATATATATATATATATATATCTCTCTCTCTCTCTCTCTCTCTCTCATACCCTTCAATTTCCTGAAATTTGCTGAAAATTTGTTACGAACCCAGGTCGGTAAAGCAAGCTCTTGAGGATTGGAACTCCGGAAAAGAATCCGGGTCTGATCTCACCAAGCTTCTGTCAGATTGCATCGCTGCATTCAAGGACAATGATCAGTACCGAGACGACATCAGATTCCTCAAGATTTGGTTCTTTTATGTATGTCGCACACTTTTTTCTAACACCTAATTCTACCAATTTTCATGCATTTTAGTTTCAATCTTTAATTAAACAATTGTCTAGTTGCTTTCATTATATTTGTTATTAATTACAATATGGTACATTTTGTCAATGAGATTGATACTTTGTTTCAGGGTTTGATTACTTGAATTGTGTTTGCGGGTTTTGTTTGTAGATGGATTTCAGTGAAGATTTTGGAAGCGTTTTTCAGAAAATGTGCGAGAGTAAGATTTGTGTTGGAAACGCTTTGCTTTATATCTGGTATGCATCCTTTCTCGAATCCAAAGGAAAATTATACGATGCGAGCATGGTTTATCAGATGGGTATTTCGAGGTCCCTCTCTTTGTCTCTCTATATAATTTTGTGTGCAGTGTAATTGTTCAATTTAATGTAATGTTTATTAGGTTTTCTGTGGTGATAGGAATGCTAAACCAGTTGAGTGGGTGAAGAAGGCACATGCCTTGTTTCTTGAAAGGATGTCTGAAATAGTTTCTTCAGCTCAGACTGTAAGCAAGCCTTTTTTCTTTGATTTGTAAACTTTCTAAATCTTAAGGCATAAGTCTTGAACCTTGGGTTGTTCACTTGTTTCTTCCTCTCCTTACTTGCTTTACAGACGTTGTATTTCAGCTAGCCTTGTTTTATGTACATGTTTTGTGCCTTGTTATGTTGCAAAACCTGTTAACTTTTAATGTGGCTTATATTATGTACGTCCTTTGTTTAGATTTAAGACAGACTAAATGAATCAACACGTGGGCAGTTGATATGTATTACATTTTCTTCTTTATTGGCCCAAGTGTTTTATAATTTTTGTTGAAGTGTTGCATATAGTGGCAAAATACCTATGTACGATGTAAGACAATACATCAATTTTCGTTTCTGTGGTGCAGATTGGCAATGATGAATCGATTACATTTGGGAGCCTCACTAACCCATGGTCCAGCTCCACCATGAAAGTCTTATTAAAGAAAATTAATCATGAACTTATGAAATATGATGTGAGATGGTTTCCCGTCATAGTTGCATAATCTCTTATGTAGTCTGATTAAGAGAACCCTCACTAGATTTTTCTTTTCACACGTCTCAGGGATACCAGTGTACTACTAAACCTTACCCAGGAAAAGTGCCGTTGTCTTCTCTGAAGAACTCGTCAAGGAACAAGACAATTGAGATAGGTGATTGATTCACATTATTGGTTCAATATCTTTGCTATATTCCACTATATGGATTTATTTACAGTGTTACTTGGTGTAGCATTGTGCATAAGGATCTTGTGATGAAATCTTCTTAGTGTTGTGTTTGAATTTGTGGATTTAGAAGAAGACATTTAAACTGAAATTCTCAGTGTAAATTGTCTGAGATTTTAGAGATGGATAGACAAATAAAATCTTTTTAACTGTCTGCTTGCATTTTGCCTCTGATGTATGAACAGGAGGTTTATTCTTATTTTTCAATCTCATTAAGTACTCATCCTTGAGCAATTGGTTATCAGGTAGAAATGATGTTGGAGGATATTTTATCATCTCTATGTTTGGCGACCTCTGCTTGTCTTTAATCTCAACCCGACTTATCTTTAATCTCAACTGTTTGGGGTTTACTACATGGCCCCTTATACAAACATTTGCAGTTTATATCCTGATCAAAAGTCTGCTTTCTGGATTTGAATGTATCAGTGGTTCCTCCTTTTTTATTTTTTATTTTTTTTTAATTTCTTCCTTCCACTCAAGAATTAGATCTAATACCAACCAACCACAACACTGCCCTATACTGTTGCCACGTTACCACCTTACCGGGAGTCAGAATCTTCTTCCATTTCAGAATCTTCTTGGAGACTCAAAATATTCTGATTCCATTAGATAAAATTAAGTGCTTCTATGTTTTAATTTTTCTGTCATTTTATCTAGGGATGCTCCATAGAATGCTAGAAGGTCAATGTATTACTGTTGATTGCCCAATTTGTGGTACTCACAGGTCGTACAAAGTACCAGATCATAGGTTGTGCAGGCCAGGGTGGTTTTGCTCAAGTGTATAAAGCATATGTCAGCTGTAATCCTGATGATGTTGTTGCATTGAAGGTAAATTATACCTGCGACTTCGTACTCTCCTAGTGCTGACCAGTGTCTGACTGGATAGTTTCACAGTTTTTGAAATCTTTGGCAGATACAAAAGCCTGCTTTCCCTTGGGAGTTCTATATGTATCGTCAACTGAATCAACGGATCTCAGACAAGGAAGTATGCATTCCTGATCCTCCGATTCTTTTGTTGTTTAGTTGCTTATTCTGTTTATTTTACACTTTGATATATCATTGTATCAGAGGTCAAGCTTTGGTCTCGCTCATAGAATGCATCTCTATTCTGACTGTAGCATACTTGTCTGCGATTATCTTGGTAATGGAACACTTCAGGTCGGTTAATCATATTTATACCAATTTTCATGTCTGGCACAGTTGTTTCTTATGCTTATTATAACCGAATGATCTTGCGTAGGATGCAATAAACTCATTTGCCGTTATTGGCAAGTCCATGGAAGAAGTGTTATGCATTTATTACACCATAGAAATGCTCTATATGCTAGAAACTCTGCATGGTGTTGGCATCATTCATGGAGATTTCAAGCCTGATAATTTGCTTATTCGTTATGCTAGGTAAAAGCCGTTCTCCATGGTATATCTTGAATGTGTTACGCTGTCTTACAGATAAGTTTTACAAAACAGCACAAAGGAATTTGAACATAAAGAAAACTGGACCTTTGACTACTGTTATCTTTTACTCACATCTGCAACCTTTTTTCAGTTTCCTTCCTTTGTTCTCTCCTAGAAGCTACTACTTGTAATATTGAGTCGCATTCGTTCTTTTTCTTCTCTTATTCTTACTGCTCTATCTGGTTATTAGACATGTTTTTATAGCTTTAGTTTCTATCAAAATTATCCTGCGCTTGCATATAGGAGACGCTTAACTTTGAATAGTAGGCTGTTAACTGAATCTAGAATAGAAGCATCTTCTATTACAACGTTGACTACTTTTTTCTAATTATAACTGCCGGCTCATTACAACAACATGATTGTAATTGGAAGTGCAGGCAAAGGTGCATTCAGTTGAGATTATTTTCTCAGAACAGTGCTACTAACAAGAAATGAAAAAGAATCTCCTGGGCTTCTCTTCCCATTAATTTCTGTTACATTATAGCTCCTGTGTTCTTTTATATCTCCCAATGGGGTGCTGACTGAAAGAGTTTTCTGCAATACAAAAAGTCTAATTTTCATTCAAGAGACTGACCTATGAAGCTTACCATCTTGCGACATCAATGACCTGTCCTTTCGGCAGGGATGGCATTACAAAAACTGGATCTCGCTACGGAAATGACCTTAAAAAAGATGGATTTCGTGACAGAAGTGGTCCTTGGCATGATCAGGTTAAATTTTTGTGTGCATAAGACCAGTATTCAATTTAGGTTTTTATGATTAATCTGGGTATTATCTTGCAGGGTCTTTGCCTTGTCGACTGGGGCAGAGGGATAGATATGCATCTCTTTCCTGACAATATGGAGTTTAAGGGAGATTGCCGGACTTCTGGATTTCGTTGTGTAGAGATGCAAGAGAACAGGCCATGGACATTTCAGGTATAGTCTTCGTTTTATTTCGCACTGTAAAATTCAGCAAACATTTTTGTATCTAATTTTGCTGTCACTTGTTACCAGGTAGACACATATGGCCTCTGTGTTGTTGTCCATATGATGCTGCATAATTCTTACATGGAGATTGAAAAGAAACTATCACCTGAAGGGGGTTACATTTATCAACCCAAGTCATCTTTGAAAAGGTACTTTTCAGTTCTGCATACTTGGCCATTTGTTTATCATATTGATTTTTATTTTTATTTTTCTGAGAGGGGTACAATTTTTTTTTCTTTTTAAACACTTGATTATTAGCAAAATCACCTTAGAAATTTAGGGCCATAACATAGCTATGCGAACACAAATAAACAGACACACTTATATATATTTATATTTTATCTAACATCTCTTTACCTTCACTCTTCAGTTTGTATTCTGACGATTTTGAGTTCTAATCTGGTCGTTCAAATGAGTTCAGATATTGGAATGGTGAACTCTGGAGGAATTTATTTAAGAAACTGCTTAACAGTAGCCCCGGCGGTAATGACAAGAAGTTGTTGCAGGATTTGAGGGAGTCCTTCCAGGATTACATGTGCTCAGACCCTCAGCTTATAAAGAAACTAAGCGAATTACTGGTTAAGCAAAGGGCCTCATTGTGTGCTTAGTGACCCCATCATCCCTCCTGATTTTCTGTTCTTGAAACCTTTGATTATATTGGCTGTTCAAGCAAAAGAAATTTAGAAGATGAACTTTTTTTTCTTTTTTTTTTTTCAAGTCAAGCTCATCTCTGGAGCATCTGTAAATTCAAGTGCCAAACTTTGTCTGAAGATGTGCACATATGTAATTTGTAAAGTTGTATGTTTGTATCCGAAGAACGAAGATGTATGCTTGCATGTGTTGAAGTAACGGAGTATGGAATTAATCCTTCAAATACCATGCAAGGACCATATGGTTTTGTCCAAGCCTCTCATACATTTCAATCTTTTCATAAGAATGAAATTTCATTTACCGCTTCTTTGGCATCCAACTCTCACACATTTAATATGGAAAGAAGAAACTGAGTGCCTCCAATGGCTGAACTCCAAGGCACCAAACTCTTGTTGTTTATGTGAATTGTGGGAGTATAACAGTCATGACACCAAATCAACTTGTTGAGTTCGGTTGGGGACTTGCAAATAGCAGGCTTCCTTTCTTTTGGGTAACTTGGCCTGATTTGGTTAGTAAATCTGCAATTTTGCCAGCTGAGTTTGTGGATGAAACAAAAAAAACAGAGGTCTAATAGCAAGTTGGTGCCCACAAGAGCAAGTCCTTGCAGGTGTGTGCCTATTCTTTGTTGGCCATTTTTTGGTGGCCAGCAAACCAAACCGTCACTACACTTGCAATAAATGGGGAACTGGCACGAATACTGATAATGATGTCAAGAGAGATGAATATACTTCAAGATCCACAACTATTTAGTAATATTATTCTTCACTTGATTGAAGGAGATCTCAGGTTCGAGTTACATAAATAACGAAGAAGATATATTTGTGATGAGTTCAATACTTAGTTGTGGTTAGCCTCATTTTAGTGGTGTAGTATTGTTGTGGGCATTTAGCCCGTTATAAAAGTGGACCGTAAATATCCTATCGTCTATCAAATGAAAAAAAAAAAAAAAAAAAAAGGGTACACATATAATTTGGCGCAAAAAGTTGAGTAGCACTCCACGCAACTGAACCGAGTGATATCAGAATGGGGGACCAATGACCAACTATCAATTAAAGTTTAAGGGACTCTTTCGAAGTCTCAATTAAAGTTTAAGGGGCAAATCATAAAAAAAAATTCATTTAATTTGGTGGGGCTAAACTCCGAAGTCTCAATTTTCTTCAACTTGATATATGGCATTGGGAAGTATATACTTGATAATTTCTGGAGGTATTTCTCCGAAGTCTTTTCCAACTCATAAATGCTTGGCTCATTGGTTGAATGTTTGGTGGTACCGCTATGAATATGCTACCCAGATAGATGTTCGATTCCCCCGCCTCCCTAATATGGCTTGTATATCTAGACAAAAGAGAGTATTTAAAATTAAATAGCATTTGAGATGAGCTCAACAGCTACAGACGAAATCAGACTCGATCAACAAGGCAATATCATGCACACCCAAGTTCCACTCAATAATAAATTCTGCATAATTCTGAAGAACCTGTCCCCCAGCTACCAAGATACCCATAAAGCACACCCTCCAACCCCGTCACCATAATTATGATGAACTCGGACTTTTCCAAGATTCTATTTATAGCCAAACCAAAGGTAAATCGGCTGACATCTTTGACTTATGTGGAGACCAAAAGACAAAAACCCGCTACAAGTTGTGGACTGGACTATGGCTGGCCACGAATCGTCCACCTGTTATAATTTGTAGACACGTCGAAAGTGGCAGCTAGCTAGCTTGCCCGACCACTAGTCCTACAAAAATATAAATAAACAATCTCCATTTGTAGCATTGGAGCACAAAATATGAGTTTTAGAGGTAGGCATCTCATCCGAATAATTAGTGTACCGACTGTACCATATCAATAGTTTAGTTTGGTTAAATAATTATTTTTTAATTTTAATTATTCCGATCCGATCTGTACCGAGATGTTTAATTTGGTTAACGGAAACAATATTCCTGACCCAACGGAACCGATCTGATATTTATACTTATTCTATTATTTAAATACAAAACAAGAAACTAAAGATAAATATAATTAGCATTGCATCACCCCTTTATTACTGCTGTATCACTTCTTTATCACCATTTTATCACTTATTTATCACCCGAATACTGTAGCACTTTTTGGTTAAAGAGGAATTTATGAATTTCCTATGTTTTCTAATTTTGACATTTGTCCCGTTTTTTTATCTATAACTTTCCAACCGTTGGTCCAAATTTTATGTTCTTTATATGGTTGGATTCAGCATGAAAAACTAAAGAATCCTATGCGAAACAAATGTCAAAATCATTTATATAAATGTTGAGAATTCAATAAAAATAACATTCAAATGTTCAAACAATAAACACAAGTGGCTCCCAGTAGATCTTGAGTATATATTGAATGAAATAGTGACTAAGTTATTTGATTTTCATACTTGGATGAATTAGACTACTGAATTTTTGTATTTTACGAGGATAATTTGGTATATTTGTTCAAGAACTTATGTTATGTAAAAGTATTATAAATTGTATCTTTATTAGTATTTTTTTATTACAGTACTATTGGCGTACCGAACTAATCTGAACCGAATATTAGGTTAATCGATCCGTGCCCAGGCTTAATGAGTTCCACGATGGTAGGTGACAATAAGCCTCATGTTGTTTGTGTTCCAGTCCTAGCTCAGAGCCATATAAAGGGCATGCTCAAGTTGGCAAAGCTCCATCACAACAGAGGTTTCCACATAACTTTTGTCAACACAGAGTTCAACCACAGACGCTTTCTTAAGTCTCAAGGCCCCAACTCTCTTCATGGCTTGCCTGATTTTCGGTTCAAACGATCCCAAATGGCCCTCCAGACTCGGATGAAGGTGCCACTCAAGACATCACCTTGCTTGTTGAGGTCGTTGTAAAAGATGGTTTTCTGGCTCCTTTTCGTAACCTCCTCATAAAACTCAATGATACAGCAACTTCAGATAATCCTCCAGTGACTTGCATTGTTTCTGATGGTTTCATGTCGCCGTTCGCCATTTCAGCTGCTGAAGAATTTGGACTCCCTATTGCACTCTTCTTCACTATTGCCGCATGCAGCTTCATGGGAATTATGCATTTTTGCACTTTGGTCGAAAAAGGACTTGCACCACTCAAAGGTGACATTAATTAATAACCATATACTAATTGAAGTGATAAACTGTTTATTTTGGGCAACTCATTTTGTCATTATGCACACCAAGTTTCTTTTATGATTCTAAACTCTTCTTGTTTTAAAAATTTCTAAGAAAAAAAAACCTTAGCCGACTAAGAAAGAGAGAAAGAAAGCTCGGATTCTTGGTGTTCTCCGGCGTTTGGCGGATCTATGCCGATATGGTTTTCCTTTGGCAGATCTATTTGTGTGTTGAGGCATTGCCCCTTGATCATGGTAGATTTACTGTTCATTAGTGCATTGTCTTGGATGAAGATTAGTGGCAGTTGGTCTTTCTTTGTTGTCGTTGGGTGAATCCAATTCAAACTTTTAAAGACTCTTATAAGGTTTAAAAGTCTGGAGATATTCAATTTAGATTTTTAAAGAGTTTATAAAAGTCTAATGATATTCGGTTGTGACTTTTAAAAGTATTTAAAAGTTTGGTGGTATTGAAGTGTGACTTTTAAAAAGTCTTTATAAAGTTTGGTGGTATTCAAAAAGTTAATTACTTTTAAAAAACTTATTAAATGAATGATTTTTATATACTTTTAAAGCTAATTCTTAAAAACAAAAGTCTTGCCAATTTTATCAACTCTATAAAAGTGTTTAAGAATATGTAACCCTAGGAATGTGAGAATGTGAAGGTAAAGAGTCTCATATTGGAAAGTTGAGAAACCTAGCAAAAACTTATAAGGAGTTGGGCTACTCCCCTCATTGCCAATTGGTATTAAGGTGGAACCTCAACTTCCTTCATGGTATTAGAACAAGTTAGCCTATGTGTGAAAGCTCAACGGCCACACGTGCTCCACGTCACCTAATATGTGTTGTCCACATGTTATGCTCGAAAATTTGCCACATGTACAGGTGCATGTGAGAATGTGAAGGTAAAGAGTCCCACACTAGAAAGTTAAGAAACCTAGCAAGGGCTTATAAGGAGTTGAGCTACTCTCCTCATTGCCAATTGGTTTTGGCGTGGAACCTCAACTTCCTTCAAGGAAACTTACTCACTTAAAAGAAAGTCTTTATAAGTATGAATTTGATACAGCCCTTAGTTTTGGTCTAGTGTGTTCAATAAAGTCTAGAAACTCTATGAGTTTTCTACGTTGTCTTTCTTTCATAATTCCGGAAACTATCGCATTTGAGTATTGTTTTTCTTTCATAATTCCGGATACACCCATTTTCCCCATACTGCTAATGGGATGTCTCCATTTCATTTTTATTATAAAACAAAACAACACTCACAAAAAAAAAAAAAAAAAAAAAAAAAAAAAGGCAAAATGACAAACTAGAAATGGTAAAGGATCTTACCTTAGCTTTATGGCCTACTATTTATCGATTTTTTTAAGGTACCTACTTAAAATGGAAAATTTTCTTTGTTTAGCTAATTAACTGAGTGTTACAATGCAGATGAGAGCTTCTTAACAAATGGGTTTTTGGACAAGGTCATTGATTGGATTCCAGGAATGAAAGGCATACGTTTGAGGGATCTCCCATCCTTCCTTCGAACCACGAATCCGGATGATGTCTTGCTTACCTTGGGCTTAGTGGTATCGGATGCAGTTCATGAAGCTTCAGCACTTGTTCTTTTTACATTTGATGCTTTGGAACAAGGTGTTTTGACTGCTCTCTCATCTATGCCTAATATTCCACCAGTTTATACCATTGGTCCTGTTGAATTACTTCTCAATCAGATACCAAGACAAGAGACCCTTTGAACTCTAGAGTGCCTCCAATGGCTAAACTCCATGGCAACAAACTCAGTGGTTTATGTGAATTTTGGGAGTATAACGGTCATGACGCCAAATAAACTTCTTGAGTTTGGTTGGGAACTTGCAAATAGCAAGCTTCCTTTCTTGAGTATGGCCGGAATTCAGCGATTGAGAGTCTTAACTGCAAGTGTGCCTATGCTTTGGCCGAGGCACATTGGGACTAGTGCAGTCCCAGGCCCCACTCAGTTATGAAAAATGAATGTAGTATGTTGTATAACCTATATTAATTAATATATTACTTTACCACAGGGGAACCTACCCAGCCTAACTTACCTTTCCTCCAAGCCTACGCCTCCTTTTGCAAACCCATTCCCAAGAGATTTTAATCCCTTTTTCTATTTTATTGGCGCATGCAGGGACAGATATACATATATATATATATATATTTATGTCCCCAGCTACCAAGATTCACATTGAGTACCCTCCAAACACCATCACCATAATTATGATCACCACAGACTTACTATTTATATATATAGACAAGTAAATCGACCGACGTCTTTCATCATGTAGGGCCAACAAACGAAAAAGAAGATGGGCAAAAACCAGTCACTCGTTGAAAGTTAGCTAGCTCACCAGTCCTATAAATAAATAATCTCTTCATTTGTACGAGTGAGCACAAAAAAGATCTAAAACATGACTTCCACGATAGTAGCTCATAATAAGCCTCATGCTGTCTGTGTTCCAGTCCCAGTTCAGAGCCATATAAAAGCCATGCTCAAGTTGGCAAAGCTCCTTCATAACAGAGGCTTCCACATAACCTTTGTCAATACAGAGTTCAACCACAGACGCTTTCTTAAGTCTCAAGGCCCCAACTCTCTTCATGGCTTGCCTGATTTTCGGTTCGAAACCATCCCCGATGGCCTTCCGGACTCAGATGAAGGTGCAACGCAAGATGTCACTTCGCTTGCTGAGGCCGTTGTAAAAGATGGTTTCTTGGCTCCGTTTCGTAACCTCCTCATAAAACTCATGGACGCAGCAACTTCCAATAATAATCCTCCGTTGACTTGCATTGTTTCCGATGGTTTCATGTCGCCGTTCGCCATCAAAGCTGCCGAAGAATTTGGACTCCCTATTGCACTCTTCTTCACTATTGCTGCATGCAGCTTCATGGGATTTAAACAATTTCGCGCTTTGGTCGAAAAAGGACTTGCACCACTCAAAGGTCAGATTAATTCATATTTACACTTTTCTCATACTTTATTTATCTTATAATTTATTTAACAAATTGAAAATGGGAATTACATCGTACCTTATATATATGATCGATTGTGTAACTGCTTTTTTTAAACATACCTCAAATGGATATTTTCCCCATTTAGCTAATTATTAATAGGTTGTTAATGTAGATGAGAGCTGCTTAACGAATGGATTTTTGGACAAGGTCATAGATTGGATTCCAGGAATGGAAGGTATACGTTTAAGGAACCTCCCATCCTTCTTTCGAACCACAAATCCGGACGATGTCTTGCTTAACTTGAGCATGGTGGCAACAGATGAAGTTCATAAAGCTACAGCACTTGTTCTTCTTACATTTGATGCTTTGGAAAAAGATGTTCTGAGTGCACTCTCATCTACTATGCCTAATATTCCACCAGTTTATACCATTGGCCCTATCGAATTACTTCTCAATCAGATACCAAAAGACCCTTTGGAGAACTCTGTTGGGTACAGTCTATGGAAAGAAGAAACTGAATGCCTCCAATGGCTGAATTCCAAGGCACCAAACTCAGTTGTTTATGTGAACTTTGGGAGCATAACGGTCATGACACCAAATCAACTTGTTGAGTTTGGTTGGGGACTCGCAAATAGCAAGCTTCCTTTCTTCTGGGTAATTAGGCCAGATTTGGTTGTTGGTGAATCAGCAATTTTGCCACCAGAGTTTGTAGCTGAAACAAAAGAAAGAGGTCTACTAGCAAGTTGGTGCCCACAAGAGCAAGTCCTTAACCACGCATCAGTCGGAGGGTTTTTGACGCACAGTGGCTGGAATTCAACCCTTGAGAGTCTAACTGCAGGTGTGCCTATGCTTTGCTGGCCATTTTTTGCGGACCAACAAACTGACTGTTACTATACTTGCAATGAATGGGGCATTGGCATGGAGATTGATAATGATGTCAAGAGAGATGAAGTAGAGAAGCTTGTGAAAGAGTTAATGGAGGGAGAGAAGGGTAAGAAAATGAAAAATAAGGCCATGGAGTGGAAGAAACTTGCAGAAGAGGCAACTGGTCCTCATGGTTCCTCATCCACAGGCTTTGACAATCTAGTCAATCAAGTTCTGTTAAGGAAAAGTTAGATGTCATCCATGTAAGAGCACCTAATTGGTGAGGCAATAGCTTACCAAGGTGATAGAAACATGTACTCTCTTATGACATTACCAAGGCAATAGCACAAGTTTATTTTATCTCTAATAAAAATCACAATAGATGACGTTTAGTGTCGGAACAAATGATAGTTACAAATTAAATTAAAAGCGATGTTAAAGACAATCGCTTACGTGAGCAGTTGCATCACATCTTTTTAACATTTAGTAATTGGTACATACTGACATGAGATGTGCGGTCGTCTGTTCACCCTTTAAATATATTTGGTTGTATACGGTTGGCAGTAGGTAAACACATTAACTTCATGGCCAAAAAATAATGATATATCTGATTAATTCTCTTTTGTTTACTTATACTTTTTTGAATTTCTTTTAATATTTTATGAAAGCATATAATTTTTAATAAAGGAGTAGAAATGAACAAAAGAGGAGTATTAATATACAATTTTCAATAAAATACGTGTAAGTGGACAAAAAATAAGTGGGAAAATTGTGGATGACATCTAACATGGTGGTATAAATAGAAGATTCCCTTTAATAAATAATATCTAGATTGTGCTAGACAACAAGGAAGGCAAATAGTCATCATACTCGGGATGAAGATAAGATCCTATTTATTGAAGAGAAATAATGTTACAAGGGACCGCGTTTTTTTTTTCTAGCACGCGATGTGAATCTAATAAAAAAAATCACAAGGAAGAAAAGTGCATGAGTAAATACTCTAAATCATCTGACTTAGAACAACTCCTATTTTTTACTAATTCACTATAAACTTAGCCCACTAAATAACGCAAAAAAAAAAAAAAAAAAAAAAAAAAGCATTCATCAATTTTAGCCCAAGACCCAATTATTTTTAATCCACTCAATTTTTTTTAATTACAATCGATAGTCCATACTACCCAAAAAAAAAAAATAAAATAAAATAAAATAAAATAAAATAAAATGAGGTTTCTCACACATATATATTATCAAGTGTCATAATATTCGAATCTTAAATCATTGGTTTGCAAATCAAGATACTTTTCTATTAGGAATATATTTTTATGCTCTCATATTAACAAAATCCTCATCCACCACCACAAATCTGCCCTCTATTTTTCTATCTTTGATGCATCCATCGGTCTACACATTCCATTTAGTTGTTTGACTGGTAAGATTTTTCTTCTTCCTTTTTTTCTTTTTTAATTTTAACATTTTCTTATCTTGGCGGTTTGCAAGACTAGTAATCGATACTTGTTAGTACTTTATAATTTGACAACCCATACCTGAATATGCGTAATCCGCCAGTCTAAGGGAAAAGTCAAGCGAATAATAATGCAACATGTATTCAATTTGATCTTGGCCACCACTTTAAGATAGACTACATAAGCAACAAACACATACGCACACATAATCTGCATTTGATCTTCATTAGTGCAAACACAAACACAAACATAAACATATAATATAAGCCAGATGGGTTCCAAGGCAGCAGCTAACAAACCTCATGTTGTTTGTGTTCCAGCTCCAGCTCAGAGTCATATCAAGGCAAACCTCAAATTTGCAAAGCTCCTCCACCATAGAGGTGTTCATGTAACCTTTGTCAACACAGAGTTCAACCACAACCGCTTTCTTAAATCTCTTGGACCCAACTCCCTTGACGGGTTGCCCCATTTTCGATTCGAAACTATTCCTGATGGCCTTCCAGTTGGTTCAGATCAAGATGCAACCCAAGATGTCTCTTTGGTTTCTGATTCCATCAACAGCAAACTCTTGGCCCCGTTTCGAGACCTCCTTATGAAACTCAATGACAGATCAACTTCCAACGGTGATATCAATCCTCCGGTGACTTGCATTGTTTCAGATGGTTTCATGCCATTCACAACCACAGCTGCAGAAGAAATTGGAGTTCCTATAGTGCTTTTGTTTACTATTGCTGCATGCAGCTTTATGGGCTATAAGCAATACCCTGCTTTGGTGGAAAAAGGTCTTGCGCCACTCAAAGGTGAAATAAATGTTTTTTAAGAAATTATTTGTATGATATTATTGATTAACAAATGTTAAATCTTACTTTGGGAGTTAATTATATAGATGAGAGCTGTTTGACAAATGGCTTCTTGGACAAGGTAATAGATTGGATTCCAGGAATGAAAGGTATTCGTTTGAGGGATCTGCCGGCAAATTTTCGAACTACAGATCCCAATGACTTCGTGTTTAACTTGTCCTTGGAATCAATTGAAAGAGTTCATAAAGCTTCAGCAGTTGTGCTTCATACTTTTGACGCATTGGAGCCAGATGTTTTGAATGCTTTGTCATCTATGCTTCCACTTGTTTATGCCATTGGGCCTGACCAATTACTTCTCAATCAATTACCAGAAGACCCTTTGAAGCATATTAGATACAGTTTATGGAAAGAAGAAACTGAATGCCTTGAATGGCTAAAATCCAAGGCACCAAATTCAGTTGTGTATGTGAATTTTGGCAGCATAGCCGTACTGACACCACAACAACTTGTTGAGTTTGGATGGGGACTTGCAAATAGTAAGCTTCCTTTCTTTTGGGTGATTAGGCCTGATTTGGTTGTTGGTGAATCAGCAATTTTGCCACCTGAGTTTGTAGCTGAAACAAAGGAAAGAGGTCTAATAGCAAGTTGGTGCCCACAAGAGCAAGTCCTTAACGACCCATCCGTCGGAGGTTTTTTGACACACGGCGGTTGGAATTCAACCATTGAGAGTTTGTGTGCAGGAGTGCCTATGCTTTGTTGGCCATTCTTTGCAGACCAACAAACAAACTGTTACTATGTTTGCAATGATTGGGGAATTGGCTTGGAGATCAACAATGATGTCAAGAGAGACCAAGTAGAGAAGCTTGTTAAAGAATTAATGGAGGGAGAGAAGGGTAAGAAAATGAAAAATAAGGTCATGGAGTGGAAGAAAATAGCAGAAGAAGCCACCAGTCCACATGGTTCTTCATCCAGAAACTTAGACAATTTAGTGAATCAAGTGCTCTTAAGAAAAACCTAGACTATTTTCATTAAAGTTTTAATCCTGCGTACCATTAGGCCTCTCTTCTCTCTCTAGGAACCTACAGCAGCCGCCGCCCCATTTTGGGGTCGGTGGCTGGCTCCCCCTCCTCCTCTCCTATTGTCCCCTCATCCACTCCCCTACTCCTTTCCCAGCTCTTCCTCTTTCCTCTCCTCTTTTCTTCTCCCCATCTTTCTCCCCTCTCCTCCCTCGCTTATACCCGCCCCCTCTGCTTATCAGCCTCCCTTCCTCCCTTCCTCCTTGCCCCTCCTTTCCTTTTGCTCCTTCCCTCCCTCGCAGTTTTAGGCTGGGATTGTGTGACTGGCTCGTTTGGTTTTTCGGTGTTCTTTGTTGCAGATCTAGAGTTGTCAATTTTCGAGTTGCTTTGGGACCACTTTGCTGCCTCTGTTGGTTGCTTTGCAGATCTTGGTCGACTTTGGTTGCTGCTTTTGTTTTCGTGTTTTTTGTTGCAGTTTCGGTGTTGATTTTAGTGCACTCTTTTGAGAGTGTCGCTTGTTGCGGTCTCAATTTGTATTTTATTTCACTTGTGAGAGTTACCAGTTGTAGTTGCATTTGTAGTCTGGGTGTCTTGGTCGTTTGGGGCGTATTGTGTTCTATGCCTGATTTATCTAGGCTCTTGGTTTCTTTACTGCATTTTCTTTGGCCATGTGTGGATATGAGGGGAGATGTGAAGATTTCAGAGGGATGGATTTTTGGCTCACCATTAGCAACATCGATATTGTTCCCAACTTAACCACTTATTTAGCAGATGAGGGGTTTTGTACAAAAGTCCTTGATTTTACTTAGTGTGGGGTTTTATTACAAAAGGCCTCGATTTTACTTGGACAGCTGTTTTATAATTCCAGAATATGAGGAAGAAGATTTCACTTGGACATTTGTTCCAAAAACCAACAATATAAAGGCACCAAGTAAGTAACATCGCATAGTAACTCACAAGATCAAAGATAGGCATGGTTTCTATAGAGGTAGCTGATCAGAAGCCTCATGCTTTATGTATCCCATTCCCATATCAAGGCCACATAAATCCACTCCTCAAGTTTGCAAAGCTCCTACACCATAGAGGTTTCCGAATCACCTTTGTCAATACCAAATAAAACCACAGAAACTTTCTTAAGTCTTTAGGCCATGACACCCTTGACAGCTTGACAGAGTTTCATTTTGAAACCATCGCAAATGGTGTCCCACCTTCAGATTCAGATTCAACCCAAGACATCTATGCTATGTGTGACTCCATTAATCATAATTTCTTGACTCCATTTCGTGCCCTCCTTGCAAAGCTCAATGATGAACTTGGACTTCCTATTGTGTTGTTCTTTCCTACTGCTTCTTGTGGCTTCATGGGCTTCATGGGCTTCAAGCATTACCGCGCTCTCGTGGAAAAAGGATTTACACCACTAAAAGGTAAAGGGAGGAGCCAGAAATTAATTAGTAATGTTCTATTTTTTATTAACTAATAACATTCTGTTTTTTAGCTTAACTATAGTAACATTAATCTGTTTTCAATGTTGCAGATGAGACTTATGTATCAAATGGCTACTTAGACACTGTCATAGATTGGACAGCGTACCGGGAATGAAAGATATCAACCTAAGGGATCTTCCAACGTTTCTTCGAACTACAAATCCAAAAGACAGTGCCTTTATCTTAACAGGGGAAGCAACTGAAAGTGCACATAAAGCCTCTACAGTTGTTATTCATACTTTCGATGCATTGGAGCAAGAGATTTTGGATGCTCTCTCATCTATGCTTCCACATCTCTATGCCATTGGCCCTCTCCAATTACTTGTCAATCAGATACCAGAAGACCCTTCGAAGCCAATGGGATAAAGCCTATGGAAAGAAGAAACAGATTGCCTTCCCTAGCTAGACTCAAAGGCACCAAACTCAGTTGTTTATGTGAACTTTGGCAGCGTTGGTGGTCATGACACCACAACATCTTGTTGAGTTTGGTTGGGGACTTGCAAATAGCAAGCATCACTTCTTGTGTTAGGCCTGACTTGGTTGTTGGTGAAACCGCGATTTTGCAGCTGAAACCAAAAGAAAGGGGTCTAATAGCAGGTTGGACCCCTCAAGAAGTGCTTAACCATCCATGGGTTAGAATTGTAATAATTGGTTTAAATTTATGTTTAAATTAAAACCACACCCCATTCCTCAGCTTTAAAATTGTAATAATATTTTGTTTAATATTGTAAAATTAACATCAACAAGAATTTTGAAAAATTATATTAGTATGAGATATACATGAATTGTTCTATTTTAGAGGGGACCATTTTGGGTTTGAGTTATCTAGCATTAGATATGGATTTAATAGGTTTGTATGCAAGGTAAATTTAGCCCACCCTATTTTGAAATCCTGGATCCGTCCCTGTATATATATATATATATATATACATATTATTTGATATCCCAATTTTCTTTAAATCCAATAATGACAGATAGTCATGAATACAGTTGTCAACATAGCATACTTTGCCTCCCTTATACATGCCATTCTCCAACATACCAAAGTGCTGGAGTTCAAGAGTACACAGCTCTTCTTTATCTACCACCGAAAAATAAAGTAAACAAGAAAGACAAAGTAAGTGCATGCATGTGCAAGTGTGAAATCACTTCCGTGACAAACCAACAGAAATAGGACCACAGACAATAATAAAGACTTAAACTATATTTTTTTCCACCTTAAAGCCAAAACTTCATTATCAACAACAGGACCACACATTTGCAAACATAATATATTGCAATATAAAATGCAGAATGAATATTTAGGTTATAGTAACTTACCATACTTGGGGAGGTTCTCTAGACCACCGAAAAATTGTCTCCATTTGAAGAAGTCTCCACACACTGTAGACCCGACACTTTTCTCTGTGATTTCCACGAAACTGAAATCCTATATTTGTATTTTATCGCTTTTTTAACTCAAAATACTTTGCTACTTAGTCCATTCAAGCATAATGCTGAGATAATGTTCCAAAATCCCCCAAAAATCGAAGTCCAATGCCTCTCGATTTGAAAACCCTAGATGCGATTTTCCCCTTTTGCTCAGACTGCCATTTCTGTGCAACTGTCGTTCTCTTCAAAACCAAAAGATTCGTTTTAATTAACTGAAAAGTCAGATTTGCCCCTCACGAATCTATGAGATTCTCACATATGCTTGCCACCTCATCATTTTAAATGGAAAAAGCTAACGAACTTTACGGAAGGACTACTGGTGCAACGAAACACACAGTTGAGTGACCTCTGCAACTAATAATTGAGTTCAGTGACCCAAATGCAAATACGGGTATAGTTGAGGGACCATTGCTGTGAAAAACCTTTTAAACTAATATATAACTTTTTTAACATTTAGTAATTGTTACATAGTAATATGAGATGTGCAGTCGTCTATTCACCCTTTAAATTTTTGGCTGGCAGTGCGGTTAAACATTATGGCCAAAATAGAATGATGTGGGTGCTAATTTTCTTATTTCCCTTTTGTTCATATTTTTAACGAAATAAAAGAGTGTAAATGAACAAAAAAAGGAGTGAGAACATATAATTTCCAACAAAATGAATGTAATGGACAAAAGATGAGTAGAAAAATCAACTCTCTTCATTTATGATATGTATCAATTATTCAATTGTCGGACATCATCTAACATGTCGGTGTAAATAGAAGATTCCCTTTTATAAATAATATCTAGATTGTGCTAGAAAACATACTCAGGATGAAGACAAGATCCTATTTAAAGAGAAATAATATTAGAAGGGACTTTCTTTTTGTTTTTTTAGCACACGATGCGAATCTAATAAAGAGGTCACAAAGGAAGAGAAGTGCACGAGTAAATGCTCTAAATCATATGAGTGAGAGCATTCATAATTATGCTCTTTATTTTTTAGTTAAAATTTAGTTAAAAACACTAAAAAGCTATTTTAGGAGCACTTTATAAAATTTCAACTTCAATCATGCTCTATAGTTTAGAGAATTATAAATGATTTAATATAAAATAATAATAACAATTAGTTAGCATTAAATAAATACTTTAAATAGCATTAAAGTAAAGCAACATTTAATTATATGAAGCCACTACGAGTCATTTCTCTCTCCTCAGATTAAGAGCTCCCAGAGGTCTCCCTATTTTAGGAGTTAGATAAGGAGCATGATTGGAGGTGAGGTGAGTTTTCTCACTCCCTCCCTAAATTTTATTTGAGATGATTTAGGGATTTCATTGTGGATTACTCAAATGAAATCAGTTAATGTGGCCAAAAATAGAAGCATTCTTTAACATATTTAGGCATATGCACCACTTGAAAATAAAATTTCAAGTTTAACTACCTAATTTGTTCAACTATAATTTTGCCAGCTATAATATTTGTTAGCTGTTCAAACTCTAACACTATTCAACTTATAGCGCATGCATCACCGGTCTACACACTCCATTTAGTTGTTTGACTGGTAAGACTTTTCTTCTTCCTTTTTTTTCTTTTATAATTTTAACATTATCCTACATTTTCTTATCTTGACCCATACCCGAATTTGCGTACTCCGCAAGTCTAAAGGGAAAAGTGAAGCAAATAATAAAAATAATAATGCAACATGTATTCAATTTGATCTTGGCCACTCCACCACTTTAAGAGAGACTATATAGGCAACAAACACATACACACACATAATCTGCATTTGATTTTCATTAGTGCAAACACAAACACAAACATATAATCTAAGCCAGATGGGTTCCAAGGCAGCAGCTCATAAACGCCATGTTGTTTGTGTTCCAGCTCCAGCTCAAGGTCATATCAAGGCAAACCTCAAATTTGCAAAGCTCCTCCACCATAGAGGTGTTCATGTAACCTTTGTCAACACAGAGTTCAACCACAACCGCTTTCTAAAATCTCTTGGACCCAACTCCCTTGACGGGTTGCCTGATTTTCGATTTGAAACTATTCCTGATGGCCTTCCAGCTGGTTCAGATCAAGATGCAACCCAAGATGTCTCTTTGGTTGCTGATTCCATCCGCAACAAACTCTTGGCCCCGTTTCGAGACCTCCTTATGAAACTCGATGACAGATCAACTTCCAACAGTGATATCAATCCTCCAGTGACTTGCGTTGTTTCAGATGGTTTCATGCCATTCACAACCACAGCTGCAGAAGAAATTGGAGTTCCTGTAGTGCTTTTGTTCACTATTGCTGCATGCAGCTTCATGGGCTGTAAGCAATTCCCTGCTTTGGTGGAAAAAGGTCTTGCCCCACTCAAAGGTGAAATAAATGTTTTTTAAGGAATTATTTGTATGATATTATTGATTAACAAATGTTAAATCTTACTTTGGGTGTTAATTATGTAGATGAGAGCTGTTTGACAAATGGCTTCTTGGACAAGGTAATAGATTGGATTCCAGGAATGAAAGGTATTCGTTTGAGGGATCTACCCACGAATTTTCGAACTACAGATCCCAATGACATCTTGTTTAACTTCGCCCTGGAATCAATTGAAAGAGTTCATAAAGCTTCAGCAGTTGTGCTTCATACTTTTGACGCATTGGAGCCAGATGTTTTGAATGCTTTGTCATCTATGCTTCCACTTGTTTATGCCATTGGGCCTGACCAATTACTTCTCAATCAATTACCAGAAGACCCTTTGAAGCATATTGGATACAGTTTATGGAAAGAAGAAACTGAATGCCTTGAATGGCTAAAATCCAAGACACCAAATTCAGTTGTGTATGTGAATTTTGGCAGCATAGCCGTCCTGACACCACAACAACTTGTTGAGTTTGGATGGGGACTTGCAAATAGTAAGCTTCCTTTCTTTTGGGTCATTAGGCCTGATTTGGTTGTTGGTGAATCAGCAATTTTGCCACCTGAGTTTGTAGCTGAAACAAAGGAAAGAGGTCTAATAGCAAGTTGGTGCCCACAAGAGCAAGTCCTTAACGACCCATCCGTCGGAGGTTTTTTGACACACGGCGGTTGGAATTCAACCATTGAGAGTTTGTGTGCAGGAGTGCCTATGCTTTGTTGGCCATTCTTTGCAGACCAACAAACAAACTGTTACTATGTTTGCAATGAATGGGGAATTGGCTTGGAGATCAACAATGATGTCAAGAGAGACCAAGTAGAGAAGCTTGTTAAAGAGTTAATGGAAGGAGAGAAGGGTAAGAAAATGAAAAATAAGGTCATGGAGTGGAAGAAACTAGCAGAAGAAGCTACCAGTCCACATGGTTCTTCATCCACAAACTTAGACAATTTAGTGAATCAAGTGATCTTAAGAACCTAGATTATTTTCATTAAAGTTTTGATCCTATGTACCATTACGCCTCTTCTCTCTCTAGGAACCTACAGCGGCCGCCGCCACTTTTGGGGTTCGGTGGCTGGCTCCCCCTCCTCCCTCGATCCCTTCTCCTCTCCTATCCTCCCCTCATCCCCTCCCCTACTCCTTTCCCAGCTCTTCCCCTTTCCTCTCCTCTTTTCTTCTCTCCATCTTTCTGTTACGATATCAAATCTCAATCATAGGAGTAGATTGCTGCAGACCCTTAATTGATTCTGTTTCCTTCTCTAGTCCAGCAATCCCTGTAGTTTAGGCTGTAGTTATTATTTCTTTCCATATATGTTTCTGTACAATTTGCTATATATCTTTGTAATTGTTATGACTAAATACGCAAGTAATATACATCAGATTATCACTCACTACTACAATTATGTTAAACTACGACACCGAATAGATGACATTTTATATAAAAACCGTCGTGATATTTTTAAAGACGACGTGCTTTATAAAACCGTCATGGTAAGGTACCTAATACGCCCATACGTTATGTTGATTTTAAAAATGACGACTGTACCTTATTAGAACCTCGTATTTTTAAGAGGCGCTGCACAAATATTCACTTAAAGTTTCGTGAAACCTCGCTCTCTCTCTGTACTCTCATGAACCCTCTCTCTCTCAACTCTATCTCACGTTTATGAAGCACCATCTCCTTCGCGCCGTCTAGGACGCCGAACTCATCGAGATCACCATCTCCGTCGTGCCGTTCAGGTCGCCGAGGTCACCATCTCCCTCATGCTCTCCATGTCACCGAGCTCTCTGAGTTCGCCATCTCCCTCGTGTTACTTCTCTATCCAAATTCGTGTCTTAGAGTTCTGTCTCAGGTTTCGTTGAACGTCTTCAAGGTTAGTCTCCTCACCCTCTCTCTCTCTCTCTCTCTCTCTCTCTCTCTCTCTCTCATTTTCTCTGATTCCCAATTTCATATAGAGAAAAAGGTATTCCAGAGTTAGGGTTTCGATTTATTTGGGCTGTGGAAATTTTTTTAGGGTTTGCCAAATGGTCTTGATTTGATGTTGTGTGGTGAAGGATTTGAAAGGATTGGCGGCTTAGTAGCCAAAGTTGGTCTGTACAGAGACGACATCGAATTAGTCGCTGCCCAGAGTTTCAATATTAGTCTGTTTCAGTTTCAACCTCCATATTTGCATAACCAATCTATGGTTTAATAAATTTGATTTCTCTGATATTTATTTCCTTGAAAAGTTGATTATATTTTGATATATTTCTGAAAGGTTTGGGAATTTAATTTATCCAGTTAACATCTCGATTGTCTCCAAGCAAGAGGAGAAAGATGGATGTCATGAAGTTGTAAGTTGTTGGTTACTGTATTAATCTTTGTTTGTCTTTTGGTAGACATTAATTGAGTTAGCTCTTAGATGAATGCATTTTGGAAACTAATGTTTCCTTTTTCTCCACTAGTCTTTTAGTGGCTGAGGCTCTAATGCCTATTAGCTTTCGTTTAGACATTGTTTAAAACACGTTTTGGTATTATATACTTTGTGTGATGCGGTGGTTGCAGGTCTTTATGAAGGCGGGGTTTGGAAAATCAGCGTTGAGCTTCCCGTCCTGATGCTGTACATATAAATCTCCTTCTAATGGCTTCATGAACGACGGTTTCTAACCAAATGTTGATGAGCTGTGAGTATTCTGCAGTTTAAAAAAGCAAAATCACCTCTCATTACATCCGATTAGAATTATCTTCTCTATGATATTTTGAGTTCTAATTGTTACTAGTAGCCGACACATTGGGTCAAATAAAGGCACAAGTATTAAGTTTACTTAGAATGGTGTAGTACTACTGCTGATTATCAAATGCTTTGAATAAGTTTGTGGAATTGACAACGTACTTTCTTTTGTGGTGACAAGCTTTCTCTCTCTTTCTCTCTCTTTCAAAAGGATATAGTTGCAGTTTAGTTAAGGACTTGAAATTGTTATTACTAACTTCATTGTGTCTACAAATTCGTTTCAGATGTGTATTCAAAACCAACAATGAAGAATGGTTTAAATCAGCAAAACCAAAGCTAGGTCCTGATGTATCAAATCGTGTTCGTGCAGCAATTGACTCTACACATGAAAACATGAAAACATGAAAACCCTATATAAAGTAAGGACTGAGATGAGAGCTGCCCTTTAGATTCTCTAAAAGGTATCCCAACTCTGTCAAATTGTTTTATTCGTTTAATATTTTATAGATTTATCCACTTCTTTGGTGTTAAGATCTAATAAAGTGACTCCCAAAAAGTAAATTTTTGTAAGGTTAGAAAGGTTTTAAATGTCATTACTTTGTAACTGCATAACATGCTTTCATTTTTCTTAATGTACTCGCTGTGTATAGAGATATTCCTTTGGTACTGTTGTTTGTTTTCCTTTTCTGTAAATATGTTTGACTTACAGGTGTTGCTCATCGTTGTTGGAGTAATTTTCAGGGGTCTGCTTAGTTGATGCTGTTATTTTTCTGTTTTAGTTTTAGTTTTTCTGCTGTGGCCATCGTATCCACCTATGTTTTTTCTTGTCTTATGCAATAAAATTTTCTTTCTGCTAAAAAAATGTTGGAGTAGTTTTTGTTTAATGAGAAATTTAAACTAAAATGAAAGTACTTTTTGTGGCCATAACTGAAAGGAAGGTGCTTATAAAATGATGTTCCATCACCTAGCAATGGGTTGAACATTTAAAGAAAATTTCTCAAAGGTAAAGGGTAGTCAATAATACAACTCCTAGGCATTCAATGTGTGTGTGTGTGGAGTGAGCTGGAAAATGAGTGTGTGTCTGATAAGTTGATTGTTTAAAGCATGTGTTCCATCACCTAGCAATGTGTGTGTGTCTGATAAGTTGATCGTTTAAAGCATGTGTCTAGGTTTTCGGGATGAGAAATATTAAGTCTGGCTGAATAAAGAGAAGGTATAAATGTTTTTTGTGTGGGGTAATTTAAGAATGTATCTTGGATAGTCTTAGTCTCTATCCTATATTGCTTGGTTTGGAGAATTGGAGATACCTATAGTTAAAATCTAGTTCTCTGATTAATCACTTTAGTAACATGACAATCTTATAATAATTATAGAAGTCAGCTAAGTTTGTTCCTTTGGTTTATTCAGTTTGTGTTTATGGCGTTTTTTTTGTGGTCAAATAGTAATCCTTTTGCAAGTGTTTAGAATCAATGAAATATATTTGAATAAGATTTGCGTTTGTGGAGTTTGATGTTAATTTTGCAAGTTTTGTAGGACCTAATGTTGCTGATATTGTTACAAGGAAAAGGAATACAGCAACTTGGAAAATGTGCAAGAAGGCAGAGCTAAGTCAACCCAAGAACAAATTGATGAAGTTCATATCAAATTAGTAGAATTTGTGAACTCCTTTATTTCTAATTATAGGTAGGAAGTACGTATGTAATAGAATAAAGATTGGTTGACAATGTAATAACTATTGAATCTTCAAGTTTTATGAGAGAAATAATTTTTTATTGTATGTATTCGTTAATAAAGCATTATAATTGGTTTTCTAATTGAAAACATTGTATAGAATGACAGGAAACAAAAAACTACAATGTAACAGCAAGGGAACATATTAGACGACAGATTTAAAGATAACCAAATGATGGTTTTATTGGAAAAACCATCGTATTTAAACATAAATGACGACGGTGGTTTTATAAACCGTCATCTTTACCAATAAATAACCATAGTTTTTTAACAAAAACTGTCGTCTTTATATGAAAACAACGACGGTTTGTAATAAAAACCGTCGTCTTTACATCTAATAGACGACGGTTCTTTAAAAAACCGTCGTCTTTACATCTAATAGACAACGGTTCTTTAAAAAATCGTCGTTTTTACATATAATAGACGACGGTTAATTACCGTCGTAGTTTGACATTCAAAAAATGACAGTCGATTTAATGACGGTTTGAAAAACAAAAAGACGACGGTGTTTTCCCGTCGTCTATTTCAATTTTTGTAGTGGTGACTTTTCACATTGTATCAGAACAATAGGCTCTGGGACCTTCACCACGATTTGATTTCTTCTTAGCCTTATGGTCGTTTTTATTATTTTGTTTGAGAGCTCTCTATATCTCAAAATTCTACTCTTTATCATGGATCTGTTTTGTTCCACCTTTGCCAATCACGTGGAAACAAACATTACAAGTCTGGCAAGTTCTTATTTTTCTGATTTTCAAAATTCAGTTTCTTCCAATAATTTTTCACAGGTTTGGATTCTTGATAGTGGTGCAATGGATCACATCACATCCCGACCTTCAATTTTTTCTCAATCGTCATCTTCATCGACTCTTTCATATGTTAAATTACCTACTAGCGCTAACGCTCCAATACATTCCATTGGGTCCATATCTTTTGATTCCAATATTTCTTTACACAATGTTCTTTGTGTCCCTTCTTTTAGAGTTAATTTAATGTCTATTAGCAAGCTTACCAAATCTCTGAATTGTTGTGTCCTCTTTTTTCCTGATTTTTGTCTTTTGCAGGATTTGGCAACGAAGAAGACAATTGGCTTGGGTAAACAACATGGCGGACTCTATTATATTAACCTTATTCCTACTCACCCATCCTCAAATTACGTCTCCACTTCATCAAATTTTTGGCATCAACGTCTCGGTCACCCTTCACCTGCTCGCCTACAATTACTTACTAAAATAAATCCAGCTATTTCTTCTAACTCTTCCCATCAATATGATGCATGTCATTATGCACAGCAAACTAGATTGCCTTTTGGTAGAAGTTCACTTTCTTCTACTGAACCTTTTTCTTTAATTCATTGTGATATTTGGGGACCTTATAAAGTTCTTTCTCATTTTGGTGCACGCTACTTTTTAACCATTGTAGATGATTATACTCATTGCACTTGGTTATATTTGATGCGCTTCAAATCTGAAACTCAGCCATTATTCAAATCTTTTCATGCTTTTGTTCGTACTCAATTTAATCGCGAAATAAAAGCAATACGTGTTGACAATGGCAGCGAGTTTGCTTCTATGCGCCCATTTTTTATGGAGCATGGCATTCTTTATCAAACTACATGTGTCTATACTCCTCAACAAAATGGAGTGGTTGAGCATAAACATCGCCACATTTTAAATGTTGCTTGTGCTTTACGATTTCATTCAAATGTTCCTTTAATCTTTTGGGGTGAATGTGTCCTTACTGCTACCTATCTAATTAATCACATGCCCACTCCTTTTTGTCAGGAAAGTCCCATTTTGAACTACTCTATGATCGTGCACCCTCATTGGATCACTTGCGAGTCTTTGGGTGTCTTTGCTATGCCACAAACGTCCATCCTGTCTAGAAATTTGACTCACGTGCCCGTCGTTGTATCTTCATCGACTACCCTGCAGGGCAAAAGGCA